CTGGCCGCCTGTTCCCGGCAGCTGTTGTAACTAATCACCATCAACTGGGGGCTTGAACCAGCAGAACTTTATCCTGTCACAGCTACTGAAGCCAGAGGTCCTAAATCCAGGTGTGGGCAGGGCCACGCTCCCTCCAGAGGCCCTAGGAGAGAGTGCCTCCTGCGTCTTCCAGCTTCTGGTGGCTCCAGGCATCCCCTGGCTTGTGGCAGCATCCCTCCACATCTGCCTCTATCTTCCTGTGGCTTCTCCTCTTCTTCCTCAGATCTCCCTCTGCCTCTCTCGCCATTGGACTTAGGGCCCACCCCAGTCCAGAACCATCTCCTCTTGAGTCCCTTAACTTAGTGGCATCTGCAAAGACCCTTTTCCAATTAAGGTCCTATCCCCAGGTTCCGGGGGGGGTGAGTCGTTCATGCGAGCCCTGAGCCCCCTGCACCTCACAGATGACGGTGCCCACACCGTGTCTGTGGGCACCTCCTGCCTGGGGCCTGGGGAGTGTGTCTGCCACCATTTCCCAGCAGCCCTCCCACTTCTGCCTCTCCTGTTTCCAGGGCTTGTCACCCTCCTCACTGGGCTCCTAACTCCCCCTAAGCTCACTGCCTGAGACCAGGTCCATCTGCCCCCAGCTGGGTGTCTGAAATATGAATGAGATCTGGAGCAGGTGGCTGTGACTCACCCTGAAGAGAGGAGACACTCCCATGTCCACCAAATGTGGCGTGGGGGGAGGGGGGTACCCAAGAGCCCTGCAAATCCAGTGCCGCTGTCCCTCGGATGGTGAGCAAGTTAAAGGGGTAGAAAGAAAACTAAAGCAGGAACTCACCCCTCCGTCAGATCCTCCCAGGGACAGCCCCTTCTCGGCTATGCTGTGGGGAAAGGTCACTGTAAGTCAGGATTTAGTCAATAGAATAGTCTATGATATAGCCGGGCAAGTAACAACCAGCACGATTAATGCAATGTTAACAGATCATTTACTGTTTATGATATAAACACACACTCAGACCAAAGGACTCAATTTGCAAAGCCAAATGAGAAAATGGCAATATTTCATCATGGTCTTGTTAATTATATATGACACAGTTTAGAAACTACTGAGCTTAAATTTAATTTCCACCTTTGGCACTGAGAGCTGGTGCCCACTAAAATAGGCTGAACTACCCCCACTGGGTCCCTCTGGGCTGACGTGTCCCCCTCTGGTCATCAAAGGCTGGGGGGACACCTTTGCAATCCCCAGCTCAGGAGGTAGAGGCCCCATGGTGGCCTGTGCTGCATCTGACAGGACCATCCACATCACTGGAGACGCAAGAGCATTTTACAGACCAATCACAGCCTACCAGGAAGCTGTACTGGGGACAGATCAGCCCCTGAAATATCACTGACTCCTGCCCAACAAGTCCCTACACTGTTATGTAGAAGCATGGGGACCGTCTCCCTGCTGGGACCCTCAGCTGGGCACACCACCGGCAGAAGGCAGCCGGGACCCTGGGCAGGCACACGGGCAGAAGGCAGCTCGAGGGTCAGACTCTGCTCCACTGGGCACTTGGCATGTGTGTCTAAACAGCTTTTGTGTTTGAACAAGTTGTTGGAAAATCAAAGCCTTAAGATCTTGTTGTTAGGAACACCTGGGTGGCCCAGTCGGTTGAGCGTCCAACTTCAGCTCATGTCGTGATCTCACAGACACTGTGAGTTCAAGCCCCGTGTCGGGCTCTGTGCTGACAGCTTGGAGCCTGGAGCCTGCTTCGGATTCTGTGTCTCCCTCTCTCTCTGCCCCTCCCCCACATGCGTGCGCTCTCTCTTTCTCTCTCTCTTCCTCTCAAAAATGAATAAACATTAAAAAAATTTTTTAATCCCAACAAAGGAAAAGCCAGTGTCAACTGTACCTGAGTAAGACTTCCTGCCCCATCCTGAGTCACAGCTAGTTGGCCAAAGGGCTAATTCCTAGCCAGTCTCGGCACAGAGACTGAACTTCTCTCTAGTGACCACCTGCTCTCCACATGTGTCCCAGGGCTCCGCCAGCAGCTCATGGAAGCAGCACTGCCTCGACCTCCTCTACAGGTCAGAACCACTTCCCGTGAAGAGTGGTTAGCTTCTGGCAGGTTCCATCAGCAGCCACATGACTGAGGGCAAAAGCCTTCGCTCCTAGAAATTGGAAAAGCCTACCTTTGCCCTTGGAAGCATACAAGAAAATTCTTAGGGAGTTCTAAATGAATTTCCTTAAATCATCTTTTTCGTAGTAATTGTCTGCTTCCTGTCCCCCAGCCCCACTTTCACACTTGTTCAGGACAGAAAAGGCTTGGGTACCTGCGAATCCTCCGGGCTTCATCCCTGGTGATGACGGTGTCGGTGATGCCCCGCCCACACTTCCTAGGGGAGCAGCCTGGAGAGAGATAGCCAGAATGAGATGCTGACCCCATGCTGAATCCCAACAGAGCCGTTTGCATTTGTTGAGGATTTACCTGTAGCTGGCCTTCCCCAGGGACAGTTTTGTGGGGTGGGCTGTGCCTTCCACAGGATTGGGGGGACAGATTTGGCAAATAAAATGCAAGACACCTAGGGGTGCCTGGGTGACTCAGTTGGTTAAGCGTCCAACTCTTGATTTCGACTCAGGTCATGATCTCACAGTTCATGAGTTCAAGCCCCGCATCAGGCTCTGTGCTGACAGTACAGCCCACCCCCCACCTCAATAAATAAGTAAACATTAAAAAATAAAATAAAATAAAATAAAATAAAATAAAATAAAATAAAATAAAATAAAATAAAAATATAGGACACCTAAACAGGTATGAATTTCAGAGAAGCGACAATGATTCCTCAGCGTGAGTGCATCCTGTGTAGGACACGCTGACATCCCACTGGGCACAGCACACTCCTGGTGGTCCCACACCAGGCAGGACGCTGGGAAGCATCTGGCTCATTGCTTACCCTTGGGAAGAGAGCCCTGAGCCACCCCAGAGGCAGCATCCATGACAATCCATGACCACAGACCCAGCCCTCCTAAGCCCCTGTGAGAAAGTCCTTCCAGGACAACTGAAGTTGTGCTTGTAATTCTAGTCACTGTCCTATCCCAGGGACCCAGCAAAAGCTGCCACCAAATGTGCTTACCACATGTCCCACCCTGAGCTCCCTCTTGCCTCTCTGCAACCAGGAGGTGCAGCTGCTTAGGGGCATGAGGGTAAAGAAGCCCAGCTGGGGATGGAGCCAGGGTCAGGTGGATGAGGCCAGGAAGAGGCAGAGCATCAGAGGCGGACAGGCTCTGCAAACTCCTTGTGTTCCAGCACTTAAGGCGGGCCCAGCTCCCTTGTACTAGGTGGGCCATCAACAGGTCCTGGCCAATGAGATGGAGACTTGGGACACTCAGGTCCTGTTGGGCTGACCTTTAACTTTTCATCTTTTCTCCCCCCTTCCTGCCTGGAACATGAGCCTGGTGCCTGGAGGTCAGAGAATGTCCTGAGACCATGTGAGCCACACACTGAGTACAAGTGGTGAGGGGCTCACAGAGCACCAGGCCAGCCTGGGGGCGG